CTGCTTCAGCCTCCTGAGTAGCTGGGACCACAGGCATGTGCTACCACAACTAGCCAATTTCTAAATTTTTTTTGCAGAGATAGGGTCTTGCTTTGTTGTCCAAGCTGGCCTTGAACTCTTGGGCTCAAGTGATCTTCCCACTTGAGGAGTTCAAGAACAGCCTGGGCAACATAGGGAGATCCCATCTCTACAAAAAATAAAAAATTAACTGGGCATGGTGGTGCATGCCTATAGTCCCAGCTACTTGGGAGGCTGAGGTGGGAGGATCACTTGGGCCCAGGAGGTTAAGGCTTCAGTGAGCCATGATCGGGCCACCGCTTTATCCTGGGTGATAGAGTGAGACGCTGTCTCAAATAAGTAAATAAATAAATAACACTTCTGGGGTCATTTCCTGCAGTATATTAGGAACATAACTTGGGGATCAGGCCAGTTGTTGATGAGAGTAAAGCAATACATTCCCTCATTTCCTCTCTACAGATTCCCGATGGGAAAGGGCCACTGAGGTAACTGTGGCTCGGCAAAGGCAGCTAGAGGAATCTGCAGGTCATCTGGCCAGCTTCCAGGCTGCAGAATCCCAGCTCCGGCCGTGGATGATGGAGAAAGAACTGATGATGGGAGTGCTGGGGCCCCTGTCTATTGACCCCAACATGTTGAATGCACAAAAGCAACAGGTCCAGGTGAGCAGTATAGCAACAAAGAAATTGGAATCACATGAAACTGGGTTTGAATGTTTCTCACAGTAAGTAGATTTCATATGATCGTAGACAAGTCATTTAATCTCTCAGAGTCTCAGTTTAAATGAGGTATTTATAAGGTGTTAATCATGGTGCCTGTAAAATAATAAACAATCAAAAACTCTTATTATTAACAGAGACAGTAAGATGAGTAGATATGAGAATAGGCAGTTTTTCTGTCTAAATTATGGAATTATATTTTACTTGTGGCCAGGCGTGGTGGCTTACACCTGTAATCCCAGCACTTTGGGAGGTCAAGGTGGGCGAGTCACAAGGTCAAGAGATCGAGACCATCCTGGCTAACATGGTGAAACACCATCTCTACTAAAAATACAAAAAATTAGCCGGACGTGGTGGCACGTGCCTATAATCCCAGATACTCGGGAGGCTGAGGCAAGAGAATCTCTTGAACCCAGGAGCCAGAGGTTGCAGTGAGACTAGATTGTGCCACTGCACTCCTGCCTGGACAATAGTGTGACACCGTTTTAAAAAAAAAAAAATTTTTTTCACTTGTAATCCCCTGTGATAGGATCCACATTACTTAATATCTTATATCTGCTGGCTTTACATAGGATTTTCTGTGATCAAACCTCAAAAAAATTGATTTAAGTGCCTAACATCGTAGAAATTTAGGTTGGTCAGGCTGGGTGCGGTGGTTCACGCCTATAATCCTAGCACTTTGGGAAGCCAAGGTGGGTGGATCACCTGAGGTCAGGAGTTCAAGACCAGCCTGGCCAACATGGTAAAACCTCGCCTCTACTAAAAATACAAAAATTAGCTGGGCGTGGTGGCGGGTGCCTGTAGTCCCAGCTACTCAGGAGGCTAAGGCAGGAGAATTGCTTGAACCCATAACACAAAGGTTGCCACAAGCAGAGATGGTGCCACTGCACTCCAGCCTGGGCAGCAGAGCAAAAACTGCTTCAAAACAGAAAAAAAAAAAGAAAAGAAAGAAATTTCGGTTGGTCAAAATTATGTCATTTCCAATGAAATCCTGCCTAGAGGCTTTTCCTTCTTTTACATTCTCCCACAGCCTGGTCCATGTCTTCTCAACCTACCAGGTTCCTTAAGTTAAGACCTAAGAGTGCTTTTTGAAGGAACTGTTTCTTTCAGTTCCTGCATCCAGGTAATTATTGAGTCCTATTTAGTCTACTTACAAATATTTTTCTAATCTGGGGTTTTCAAACTTTTTGGTTTCAAGAACCCCTTTTATTCTCTGAAAAATTACTGAGGATCCCCCAGAGCTTGTGTTTATCTGTTAACATTTATTGTACTAAAATACTGAGGAATTTTAAAAGTATATATTTAAAATTTTTAAATAGCAATGGTAAAACCATCACATTAACCTAAATAACATATTTTTAATGAAAAAATAGCGTTTTCTGAAACATAAAAGTTTAATGATAAGAGTGGCATTGGCCGGGCGTGGTGGCTTATGCCTGTAATCCCAGCACTTTGGGAGGCCGAGGCAGGCGGATCATGAGATCAGGAGATCAAGAGCATCCTGGCTAGCACAGTGAAGCCCTGTCTCTATTAAAAATACAAAAAGTTAGCCAGGTGTGGTGGCGGGCACCTGTAGTCCCAGCTGCTGGGGAGGCTGAGGCAGGAGAATGGCGTGAACTCGGGAGG